TAAAAATATTAATATTTAATAATAAATTAAATTTTTTTAGGAATAATAAAATTTAAATTATAATATTGAGTATTGGAAATTAAAATTAGAATCTTAATTAATGTAAATTGAAATTTTATCTTAGTTAATATCACATTGAACAAAAAATTTGAATTTCAAAAACAAGATGTTATAAAAAATAAAAATATATGTATTATATTTAATATTTTTTAAAAGTTTAGGATGCAACTCGTCTGCATCAACTTATCTAAACAAACATTTTGTTAGTCTAATTAACTAACGATCAAGTAAATTACTTTAAAATAAAATTGATAGTTTATAAATTATTTTTAAAAAAATATATTTTTAAATTAAATTAAAATAAATTATATAATTAATAAATTATTTATTAAATTTAAATATGAGGTATAGAAGATCTTCCACCCAACACGATGATGATTTGACAGCTACTCACCCTAATGTTGAACACTATTATTAAACTAAAAATTTTATGATGTCACACTATACCAGCAACCTTCAATGATTGTTCATAAAAAAACTTCATACCAGCTATCTAACGGTGTTGCATTGAAATTTTCTTTGACTATGTAGTCCGTTGACCAAAAAGGGGAGAGCATGAAGAACGGCAGAATCTGCAATATATAATATTTTAGTAGTATAAAAGAATAAAAAAATTATATAATTTAAATTATACAATATTTATTATTGAACAAAAATAAATAATTTAATATTAAAAATTATTTCACATTTATAATTTTTATTTTATAATTTAATATAATTTAAATTATAAAATTAATATTTTATAATTTAAAAAATATATATTTATGGAGGTATTTGTTTCAATTATAGTTAACTTATTAAAATCTTGAAGATTTGGACATGTACGTTCCGATCCAACGATAATAACCCTGAGTTAGTGAAATTATTTTTGTGAGTTATAGTTTCAAATTTCACGGATTTCTTTTCTCATGTTTCCTTATTTCTTTTTGATTGTAATTATGTTAAAAAAAAAAAATCTTGAGGATCTGAAAGAGAATGATAATGTAGGAGAATAACTGGGGGTGAGTATTGGTTATAGTAATATCCGACATTTACGTGTAGTTTTTCTTTTTCTTTTTTTTTTTTTTATCAACGATATTCATGGGTAGTTGATTTATTTGGTTAGCCATTTTATCTGTACCTGAAAATAGATAAATACTACGTATGAAAAATGTATATTTGTCAAATAATTGGTCAAGTCTTGGATAAAAGGCTCACACCTACATAGCTAATATATAGTTCCACAGACACACACATAAAATAATATTTATTTATTTTATCTTTTAAAAATTAAAAAAATATTAAAAAAATATTATTCAATAAATTTTAATTAAAAAATTAAAATAACATTTC